ACTGATCCGGATCATTGAGCACAGCCTTCTGGATCAGTGTGCTTACAGTGAAGTACAGTGCAGTGTTGCATGACCGTGCAATTGTCAGTTAAAGTAACACAGCGCCGTAACACAAACAGCTTCCTGACCACTTCCTGACCGCCTTATAGCAGAAATACTGCTACAGGGCAGCACGGGTGCGCAAAATCACATATATGTGTATATGTGATTCGCGCTCCCATGGTTTTCATGCCCCTCCCAGATAGCTTCAGATTGCCCATCAGTACACCAGTAATCACATTTAACCCCTTGATCGCCAGGAACACGCTCATACACAATAAACCTCCATTGCTAGTATAGTGTCTGAACGGATCAATATCTTTGATCAGATCAGCACTATACCAGCATTCACATTAGTTTAGCGTCCCAAAAAACGCAGCGTTAGCGGGATCAGTCCCGGCACCTGCTAGCACCTGCATTTAGCTCATACGCTTACCCCCCCCCCCCCCTTCTCCCCCAGCAAGAGCAGTGTCAGTAGGTCACTGTCACTTGATACATTGCACACAAAAGTGCATTGTTGGCAGAATCAGGCCTAATCTCTGTTAGCACATGCCGGTAAATTTTAATGACTCTCACATGCAGCAGAGTGCCAGTACAAGTGCCACGCTACCTTTTGGTGAACTGGGGAGCACCAACAGCCTAATATATCCTGGTCTTTCACATACCAGCACTGCAGTATCACTTGGCGATGTGGCGAGTCCCATAAGTGCAGTACAAGCTGGTGCGGTGGCGAGCACAAGTATTGTCCTGCAACCACCAAGAATTCACACACAGGCCCATAGAGCCCCTAGTATCCTTTCAGATGTGCTTGCAAATCCCGATTGGCAGCCCACAAATTCTGCAGCACCCGTACTTCCCTCATTCACTGCCCAACCTGGAATTCAGGTGGAAATAGCAAATGTAACTACTCCCCTTGATTTTTTGGAAATGTTTTTTCACGGAAGATCTGTATGATCAAAGCAATTTATATGCACAACAATTTTTCACCACCAACCCAAATTCAAACCTTGCCAGACCATTCACATGGAAACCCATTATTTCACATTACTCCACAAAATTCAGCCCCTCATAAATCACCATAACCAAAAATTTGCAGATGTATATAGTCAGCAGAAAAACATCTGTGTTGATCAGTCCCTCATTCATTTTTCTGGCCGCCTTGAATTCAAAAATTTCTCCCCAGCAAGCGTGCCAGATATGGGGTCAATATGTATAAGACCTTTTAGGGAAAAGATAGTTACGTGGAGCCCCCTAGATGCCCAGACTACATGGGGAGCAGTGACAAGATAGTTTGGGACTTGGTGTCATCCTTTTTCCATATGGGGTACCACTTATACGTGGACAATTTTTATTCAAGCATGCCACTATTTAGACATTTGTACAATCTTGGAATTGGCGCATGTGGCACCGTGTGACCTAATGTGTGCACACCATTAGAAGTGGATGGATGCAGGGTGGTATATTCTAATGGGGGGCAAACCACACACTTTTTCTGGCATAGATTTCTTCTCTTTTTTTCATTCAGCTCACAGGCTACATACAAAAAAAGAACATAGCATATATACCCAACAAGGACCAGCAACGTACTGGTACATCACTGGAGTTTGAATGGTTATACCAGGATGATGCCTACAGCTGCAGGCATCATCCTGGTATCGTTTTCTTCAGACAGCAATTGGCTTTCATGTAAAAGCAATCCTAGTGGCTAATTAGCTGCAGGATTGCTTTTACAAGCAGCGGGAGATGATGACCCCCTTCCTTGCTGCCTTCCACGGCCTTCTTGGGCATTCCCGTGCCATCCGGGGAATCTGAGAATGCAGCCGGTGTTTCTGCCAGCTGACCATAGAGCTGACTGGAGACCATAATGGTGCCAATCATCTCTATAGTTTAAGAAATCGGAAGCTAGAGCATTTCATCACTTCAGTTTCGCAGGATATAAACAGCGCCATTTGTAAATTGGGAAAGCATCTGATCACACCAATCTTGGTTTGATTAGATAATGTAAGGGCAGAGGAGATATCTAGAGTGTGAAAGACCCCAGATTTCTCAATAAAGATTATATGACAATGCCCATTGAAGTTATAGGGGATATTGGCATTCCCTGTGATAGCATTAAAAGTGACCAAAAAAAAAAATGAAAGGGACAGTGAAAAAATAATAAAAACAATCTAAATAACTTAACAAAAAAAATCACCCTCGCCTTCCCCCCCACTGCGCGCGCACACCTGTGTGTGCGAGCGCTGACCCTGTGTCGGTATGTAAACAGTGGTTGCACCATGCATGTGAGGTATTGCCGTGAACGTCAGATCAAGTGCAGTAATTCTAACACTAAACCTCCTCTGTAAATCTAAAATGGTAGCTTGTAAAGGATTTTAAAACGTTGCCTATGGATATTAAAAACCTATGCAGTTTGTCGCTATTGCACGGGGCATGTGCAGTTTTAAAGCATGTCATGTTTGGTATCTATTTACTCGGCTTACCATCATCTTTTATATTTTAACAAATAATTGACCAATATATTGTGTTTTGTGCATTTAAAAAAAAAAGTGGGTTTTTTTAATTGTGTTTGAAAAACTGTACGAGTAATGTGACATACAAAATTGCAGCACCCACCATTTTATTCACTAGGGTGTTTGCTTTAAATATATAATATTTGGGGGTTTAGAGTTATTTCCTAGCAAAAAATACAGATTTTTTTTCATGTGAACAAAAAGTGTAAGAAAAGGCTTGATCTTCAGGTGGTTAGAAGAGTGAGTGATGTGTGGCATAAACTTCTAATGCTGGGCATAAAATGCCCCCACCCCCCAAAACGACCCATTTTTGTAAAATATACACCCCAAACTATTTGATGAGAGGCATGTTGAAGCAATAGAAGAATTTTCTTTTTTACCACAAGTTTTTAGAAAATGACCCAAAAAAATTATTTATTTACACAAAATTGTCATTTAAATGATTTATTGCTCACACATGCCATGGGTATGTATATGTGGAATTACTCCCCAAAATACATTCTGCTACTTCTCCCGAGTATGGGGGTACTACATGTGAGAGGCATTTAGGCAGTCTAGCCAAGAGCAGGACCCCAAAATCCAATAAGCACCTTCAGGCTTTTTAAAGGGCTTTATTTCCTCATTACACTTCCTGACTACCTATCACAGTTTTAGAGGCCCTGAAATGCCAGAATAGCACCTACTCCCCCCCCCCCCCAAATGACCACTTTTTGGAAAGTAGACACTCCCAGGAATTTGATAAGAAGCATGGTGAGTATTTTGCAGATATCGTTTGTTGCCACAAGTTTTTGTAAAATGAAGAAAAAAACAAAAACATATTTTTCTTTTTTTTTATATATTTCAAAATCTTGTGAGAAAAAATTAGATCCGCAAAATACTCACAATGCCTCTTTTTAAATTCCTTGGGGTGTCTACTTTCCAAAAAGGGGTAATTTGGGGGGGGGGGGGGGGGGGGGTTGGTGCTATCCTGATATTTCAGGGCCTCCGAAACTGTGATAGGTTGTGAGGAAGTGAAATGAGGAAGGTACGCACCTTCAGGCTTTCAAAGTGGTCATTGGATTTCAGGCTCCTGTGTGTGGCTAGGCTCCCAAAAAGTCTCACACACGTGGTATCCCCATAGAAGTAGCAGAATGTGTAATTCCACATATACCCATGGCTTGTGCGAGAAATATATCCTTTTAACAACAACTTTGTGTAACAAAAAAAAAATGTTTTTGTCATTTTCCAGAAACTTGTGGAAAAAAAAAAAATCTTCCATATACTTAATATGCCTCTCAGCAAATAGCTTAGGGTATCTACTTTCTGAAAAGGGGTAATTTGGGGGTGTTTGTATTATCCTGGTATTTTAGCACCTCAAGAAATGTGATGGGCAGTCAGAAAGTAAAAGCTGTGTAAATTCCATTATCTATACCATAGTTTGTAGACGCTATAATTTTCACACAAAGCAATCAATATACACTTATTGGGATTTTTTTTACCCAAAAACATGTACCAGAATACATTTAGGCCTAAATTTATGATGAAATTTTAGTTTTTTGGATATTTTTTATGACAGAAATTAGAAAATATAGGTTTTTAAAAAAAAAAAAAAATGTTCAAAAATGTTTTTGTCTATAGCACCAAAAATAAAAAGCACACAGGTTATCAAATACCACCAAAAGAAAGCTCTGTTTGTGTGAAAAAAAGGACATAAATATATCATTTATGTACCGTATTGCATGACCGCGCAATTGTTAGTTAAACTAGTGCAGCGCTGTATAGCAAAAAATGGCGTAAGTTGCAGTATCTATACCATAGTTTGTAGATGATATAACTTTCACACAAAGCAATCAATATACACTTATTGGGATTTTTTTTTTACCAAAAACATGTAGCAGAATACATTTTGGCCAAAATTTATAACTAACTTTGAGTTTACTATATATTTTTTATAGCCGAAAGTAAAAAATATTGTTTTTCTTTAAAATTTTTGGTCTTTTTTTGTTTATAGCGTGAAAAATAAAAAGTGCATATGTGACCAAATACCACCGAAAGAAACCTCTATTTGTGTGAAAAAAAGGATGTACATTTTGTTTGGGTACAGCATTACATAACCGCGCAATTATCAATTGAATTAGTGCAGCGCCGAGTAGCAAAAAGAGGCCTGGTCATTAAGGAGGGTAAACCCTCTGGAGGGAAAGGGGTTAATTTCCCTAACAGGGACACAAAGGAAATAAAAAACCTGATGTGGGGATCTAACTGCTCAACATACTTTAACCACTTTCCGCCCGCCATATAGTACAATGACGGGCGCAAGGTGGTTCTCTCGTTCTGATAGGACGTCCTTCCATTCTCACCGCGCATGTGCGGCTCAGGGAGCACGCAGCGCGGCAATTGGCGGTGCGCTGTGTCCCTCGGACAAAGCGGATCACAGATCACGGAAAGAGCCGAAGATGTCGGCTCGGTCATGTGATCAGCTGTGTCCAATCACAGCTGATCACATGTAAACACGGAAATGCTGGTTATCGGCATTTCTCTCCTCTCAAGCTGTCATGCTGACAGGAGAGGAGGGCCGATAATCGGCTTTCCGCGGAGGGGACATGTACACTGATCGACAGGGCACTGATGATCAGTGTGCCCTGATGATCAGTGTTGCCCCAGAAGTGCCACCTGTCAGTGTCCATCAGTGCCAGCAGTCAGTGCTCATCAGTGCCACGTGCCAGTGCCCATCAGTGCCACATCAATGCCACATATCAGTGCATACCAGTGCACATCAATGCCACATATCAGTGCCCATCTGAGCTGCCTTTCAATGTCACCCACCAGTGCCAGTCAGTGCCACCTATCAATGCCAATCAGTGCCACCTACCAGTGCTGCCAATCAGTGCCACCTATCAGTGCCAGTCAGTGTCGCCTATCAATGCCAGTCAGTGCTGCCTATCAGTGCCAGTCAGTGCCGCCTATCAGTGCTAGTCAGTGCCGCCTATCAGTGACAGTCAGTGCCGCCTATCAGTGACAGTCAGTGCTGCCTATCAGTGCCGCCTATCAGTGTCACGTATCAGTGCTGCCTTTCAGTGCCCATCAGTGCAACCTACCAGTGCCTCTTCATCAGTGCCCATCAGTGCCACCTATCAGTGTCCATCAGTGCAGCCTATCAGTGCCCATCACTGCAGCCTCATTAGCGCACATCAGTGAAGGAGAAAAATCACTTATTTACAAAATTGTATAACAGAACTAAGAAAAAAAACTTTTTTTTTTCAAAAATTTTCAGTGGTTTTTGGTTTGTTTAAGACAAAATAAAAATCCCAGAGGTGATTAAATACCACCAAAAGAAAGCTCTATCTGTCTCAAAAAAAATTATAAAAATGTCATATGGGTACAGTGTTGCATGACCGCGCAATTTGTCATTCAAAGTTTGATAGCGCTGAAAGCTGGAAATTGGCCTGGGCAGGAAGGGGGTATAAGTGCCCTGTAGGCAAATGGTTAAAGTATATCTGTAGCCAAAACTTTCCGTTTTGACAGGAAAGCAAATGTTTAAACCTCTGGCAGTTTATTTTTGTTTTTTGTTGTTTTTCATCTGTGTTTTGATCAAGAGATTTCCTTTTACTTTATGTTCTGTAGCTACAACATCCAGTAAGAGAACATATTTCCAAAGAGAGGTAATTTCTATATGAGATACAGTAGTTTGTCTTTTGAATAAGTGTCCTCATTGGAAGATTTCCCCTCTATTGCTCTTCTGGTGAAAACACAGAATTTCATCTTTTCCTCACTTTTGATTCTGTTGACAATAATCACCAGGACAATTAGAGAGATAATCTCCCTAGTAAGGACAAATAATGCAATCAAAACTTGGTTGTAATTTTAATCCCATACCACCCTATCCAAAAATAATAAAGAAAATTTTGGCATTAGATACTTTATCTCTAACACACTCAGAGTTAATTTTGCTGCTCTAAGTACGTCAAAACACTCACCCCTGTACAGTGTTCCTTGCAAGATAGGATCAGCCCAAGATATAGGGCAGCTGTCAGAGCAAATAAATTTTTGGACACATATGTGTATATATATATATATATATATATATACACACACACACACACACACACAGTGCTCAGCATACATGAGTACACCCCAACAGATTTGTCAAAAAAACCTTTACTTTCCTTTCAGAATCAACATTTTCTATGGGACATTGTACTACAACATACTCCCACAAATGCGGGCCATTGATTTCAAACAAGGTTTGTTAATTTGCACACACAAAAAGTATTTTTCCTAACAAATTCATTCAAGACCATGTTGCAAAAAAGAATACACCCCAATGAAAGTCTTAGGAGCAAAATTTTATACAACAAAATTCTAATTAACATGAATTCAACTACAGGTGAGTCTAATTATTCATTAATCAGATGTCCAGCAGATAGTTGATTATAAAAGGGTGGTACTTAACACCACTTGGAAGAGAAATGTCAAAAGGCCTGAGAAAGAATGTAATTTCTTTACACAAGAAAGGTGAAGGCTACAAGAAGATCAGCAAAGCTTTACTTATCAGTCAGAATACTGTAGCAAAAGTGATACAAAAAATTTAACAAAGATGGAACTGCAGTCATCTCACAGAGACGTCCAGGCCATCCGCGAACGTTAACACCTCAAAAGGAGCATCTTCTGATGAGAAGGGTTGAAAAAAATCACCATGCAAGTTCACTGCAGTTAGCTATAGAAGTCGAAAGCCAAACTGGGTTGATTGTTTCCCATGACACAATATGGCGTACACTGCAGAGGAATAGCTTGCATGAGTGTTGTCCACAAAGGAAGCCTCTCTTAAAGCCCATGTACAAAAAAGCCCACCTAGAATTTTGCCAGGGCCCATGCTGAAAAAGAAGATGACTACTAGGACTCTGTACTCTGGAGTGATGAGACCAAGATGTAGGGATGCTGTCACTCTTCCCTCTGTTGATCTGAAGGTTCTTCTGATATCTTGTATATTTGATATAACTTGTTTTGGAGCCTCTTTGGATGCTTATTGAGACATCTACTTACATTGTTTACTATGGTATGTGTTTGGATGGACTTTGCCTGTTATTTATTATTTTTATACTTAAGCTGACCCCCTTTATGGTGCCATAAAGTTGGTATAGATGTGGAGGGCATGAGGCTATATTTATTTTCCCTTCCCTCTGTTACTGTTGTCCCCTATCCTCTTTTTAGGGCTTTATTGATTGCTAATTTGGGGAGTAGGGGTGTAGTTTGTATTTCTGGCGGACATTTTTTATTTTATCTTAATATATAATGAATTATCTGTAATGATGTTTTAGCTCTTTATTGTGGAATGACGGTTTCCATCTGTCTGGCAGCCACTGATACTTTTGACTGAGGGGTCCCATTCCATCCATCCTTGAACCAATTGCTCGGGTTGTCTTTCATTGACCTTATGTGTAGTCATCAATATTACCAACCGGTAAATGCTGACAGTTTTTTATTCCATTTTTTGAGTATTGTAATGACCGGCTATATATTTATAATATATGTTTTGGGCCTACTTTTGCTTGATTCTAGAAACGTATACTTTGTCTCCCTGAAGAAGCAGGCTTTGTCCAGTGAAAAGTGTTGGAGTAACGAACAAGCGTTCAACTGTATCAAACGGCATGAAAGGAAGCCATCCATTGTATACAACTGTCATGTGACCTGCTGTGATTGGTCACAGCAGGTCACATGGTACTGGCAACGGGTCCGGTACACAGATCTGTCATCCTTGTCTGAGGTACACAGCCAGATCTTGCCACAGCGCGGCCCTGCGGGCGCACGCGCAGAGCGCGATCCAGGAAGGACGTCATATGATGCCCTCCCAGAGGGACGAGAGGTTCGTCCGGCCATCACTTAACAATAGGCTGGGTGGGAAGTGGTTAAAGAAAGCCATAGGAAGTCTTGTTTGCAGTTTACAAGAAGCCATGTGGGGAACACTGCAAATATGTGGAAGAAGGTGCTCTGGTCAGATTAGAACAAAATTAAATTTTCTGGCCTAAAAGCAAAGCATTATGTGTGGTAGAAAACTAGCATTGCACATCACCCAGCATCATTTAGTGGGGATGATTTTCTTCAGCGGGGACAGGGAGGCCGGTCAGAGTTGATGGGAAGATGGATGGAACCAAATACAGGGCAATCTTAGAAAAAAACCTGTCAGCGTCTGCAAAAGACTTGAGACTGGTTTGGAAGTTCACCTTCCAGCAGGACAACGACCCTAAACATACAGCCAGAGCTACAATGAAATGGTTTATATCCAAGCAATTTTATGTGTTAGAATGGCCCAGTCAAAGTCCAGAACTAAATACAATTGAGAATCTGTGGCAAGACTTGAAATTTGCTGCTCACAGATGCTCTCCATCCAATCTGACAGAGCTTGAGCTATTTTGCAAAGTAGAATGGGCACAAATTTCACTCTCTAGAGGTGAAAAGCTGGTAGAGACATATACAAAAAGACTTGCAGCTCTAATTGCAGTATAAGGTGGGTCTACAAAATACTGACTCAGGGATGCTGAATGCAAATGCATGCCACACTTTTCAGATATTTATTTGTAAAAAAGTTTTGAAAACCATTTATCATTTTCTTTCCACTTCACAATTATCTGCCACTTTGTGTTGGTCTATCACATAAAACCCCAATAAAATACATTTACATTTTTGGTTGCAAAATGACAATATGTGGAAAATTTCAAGGGGTATGAATACTTTTTCAAGGCACTGTATTTGTGTATATTCTCAAATCAGCATGCATTTTTGAAGCCATAAAAAGCCCAAAATTATATTTGTATGTCTGGTTTGTAGAGTAAAATATTAAAGTATTCTTAATACATATTGCACAATACACATTTACATATGTAGGTGCACGTGGAGATGGTATTTTACATGTTTTACATTTTTATTTTATAATACATTTTTCACTTTTTACCATACCTTTATTTCTACTACAAGGGGAAAGTTGTGGACATACTAAATAAAAGGAATGCACTGCTAATTATATGGTAAGAGAAAGAGACATTCTGTAAGGAATATATTGACCAGCGACCGCTTGACACTTTAAAAGAAAAATTATGACCAAATTGGATTCTTTTTCATTGACATGTGGAACACACCAATTTAACAGAGAGTGTATCTATGTTATGTGAGAATGCAGAATCAGTGACTGAACCTACTGATGTACTGTTATTGAGAAATAATGAACATGCACAAGCATTAGTAGCAGAAGGAAATAGAGGTGCCTACTTAGTTTTGTGTGATAATAACCAGAGAGACAGGCAGTTTAGTTTCAATTCACTACAATTATGGTTTGCCCAATCCTTTGTCCTTTGGTGCTTAACTTTGAAGCGCCCAGAAGGAAATTGTTGATGATCCAAATACACCATATACTGTAGCTAAAAGTATTGGTCCACCCCACCAAATCATTGAATTTAGGTGTTCCAATCACCTCCATGGCCACAAGTGTAGAAATTCAAGCACCTAGGCACGCAGACAGCTTCTACAAACATGTGCGGAAGAATGGGTTGCTCTCAGGAGCTCAGTTAATTCAATCATGGTACCATGATAGGTTGCCACCTGAGCAGTAAGTCCATCTGTGAAATTTCCTTGCTACTAAATATTCCATGGTCAACTGTTAGTGGTATTATAACAAAGTGGAAGCAACTGGGAACAACAGCAACTCAGTCACGAAGTGGTAGGCCACGTAAAATTACAGAGCGGGGTCCATGGCCGAGCAGCTGCATCCAGGCCTTTCATCACCAAGTGCAATGCAAAGCATTGGATGCAGTGGTGTAAAGCATGCTACCACTGGACTCTAGAGCAGTGGAGATGTGTTCTCTGGAGTGATGAATCA